ACACAAGAACCTCGCCGTTCGGGCCGTATCCGTAGGCCCGTGAACCGCCTCAACTTGTAAGGGGAAGGAGTGTTGTGGACTCGCCCACAGTCGAGTCTGGGAAGGGGTCGCGCGAGGAGGTACGGGGCAGAAAGAAAAAGAGACAAAAAAGATAGGACGGACTTTTTTAGAGACTTTTTGATTATTAGTTTCCACTTGATCTAATGTATTTTATGTGTGACTACAATAAACAACATTTCAAGTTATAACACTCTACTAAAGTTGTTTGGTCTGGAGGAGGACATCCGATGATGACATTGGTTTAACCCAGGGTGTACATGCCAAGGTCATATGAAGATCAACTTTGTTTTTTTAAATGGAACATCCTATTTTTTATTCCAGAATCTAATAGCTGGTGTCAAGTACTTTTCAAAACACTATAATAAAGTTATTTTTTATTAAGTACTTTTCGAGTTATGAGGCTTGAAAGTTACAGCATTTTGACTTAAAATACAAAATATCTTGTAAAACATTCAGTTTTTGAGAATGTTATTGTTGAGTTTTATCAAACTTTTATTTTTTTTCTAGTCTCGCATGCATGTTCTTTATTTTATTTTTTAGTGCATTTTGTTTTTCGCGCCTTTTGTTTATATTCTTGCAACCCGCTGTGCGTCGCCAACACACGATAGCGACTTCCGTTCTTTCTTTTTCTTTCTGTTCTGTGCATGATATATTCTAGTTATATGGCGTGCATCGAGTATCGTCGCGTTCTGTGCGTTGCGTAATATTGCGTTCTGTATATTCTTTTTCAATAAAGTTCTTTTCTAACCATCATCTTCAAGAAGTTATGGGCCCAGGCAACGCCTAGTGTGTGAGATATAGAAAAGGACATTCGTTAACGTGAGACCCAAGTTTCGTTTACGTTTTCTTTCTTGTGTGAGAATATTTTTTCTCTTGGAAAATGGCAGAGTCAATAGACTTAAGAAACATTACGAAATTTGAAGGATCTAACTTTCAAGCATGGAAATTCCAGTTGAAAGCCATCCTGGTTGCTAACAAGCTCACGGACATCGTTTACGGAACGCAAGCAAGACCAAGCGGTCCAGAGGCATCGGCAGCACAGATAACAGCCTGTGATAAGAAAAACGCAAAGGCGATGGTAATTCTCTCATCAACCATACAAGCCTCGCAACTTGATTTTTTGCTAACATGCGAAACTGCCCATGAAATGTGGACAAAACTAAGTGCACTTCACGAACAGAAAAGTGAGACAAACAAATTATATCTGATGTCTCGCTTTCATGACCACAAGATGGCATCGAGTGACACGGTTGCTCAACACTTCGCAAAAATAGAGAACATGGCGCATCAATTGAAAGACCTCGGTGAAAATGTCTCAGATATTACAATTATGGCCAAAATTCTAAACAGTTTACCCGCGAAGTTTAGTGTTTTTGTAACCGCATGGGACAGTGTAGATAGTGAAAATCAAACGTTTGATCGCTTACGTGAGAGACTCGTCAAAGAGGAAAGCCGAATAAATATAGTGGACGAAACAACCAGCGCGCTTGCTGCGATGAATACGAAATCAAGCAACAATCAAGAACAAAAAACGTCAAAGAAAAAGGTATAACGCTCTAAAAAGGACTTGACATGCCATTACTGTCAGAAACAAGGTCATTTCATAAAGGATTGTTTTAAGAGAAAGAAGGAATCCGGAAATCGAGACGATAAGAAATCGAAGAATCAGGGATCATCCACTAATGAGGCATTCACAGCAGAAGTATCAACAAATGAGATTCTAGGATCAGCTACAAAGGATGTATGGATCTTAGACAGTGGCGCCTCAAGGCATATGACCTATCGCCGTGACTGGCTCTCAGAGCTGCAACCATGCAATGACGAGGAAGTTTCTCTTGGAGATGGCACTATTTGCAAGGTTTTAGGTCGAGGTACCGTACACATCGAGAGATTTGTCGAAAATCAGTGGATTGTCAGTCGTGTCGAGGATGTGCTTTATGTGCCAAGCTTGAACAAAAATCTTTTCTCCGTGGGAGCTTGTATCAACAAAAACTTGCGAGTTGTCTTTAATAAAAATTCTGTTGATTTTTTCAGGAATAACGAGCTGAAAGCGCATGGCATCAAGCAAAACAACAATCTTTTCCGTATGATGTTCAGAGTTGTCACAATCAATCATGCTAATGTGATCTCAAACTCTAAAGTGGATCTGAAGCGATGGCATGAACGTCTCGGTCACGTAAATCATAAATACATCCAACAGACACTCAAAAATGGACTCATCGATTGCTCCGACAGCGACACTGGTCCTGAGGATAAATTCTGCGAAGCCTGTCAATATGGGAAGCAACATCGGCTTCCTTTTCAATCTATTGCACATAAGAAACCACTGCCTGGAGAGGTTATTTACAGTGACGTTGGAGGGAAGATGTCAGAGCCATCGCTAGGAGGCTCAAACTTCTATGTGAACTTTAAGGACGACAGCACAGGTTTTCGTATTATTTATTTTATAAAACACAAATCAGATGTTTTAGATAAACTCAATCAATTTGTCAATCTGGTTGAAACCCATCATCAAAGACGTGTAAAGACTCTTCACGTGGACAACGGCAGAGAATACTGCAACGAGGCCATGACTAAATATTTATGTAAGAAAGGAATAAGCATGGAGACTACTGCACCTTACACGCTGGAGCAAAATGGGCGAGCCGAAAGGGATAATAGATACATCGTCGAATGCGCAAGAACCATGCTGCATGCCAGAAATCTACCTGTAAAATTGTGGGCTGAGGCTGTGAATACAGCCTGTTACATTTTGAATCGTATGCCCACGGTTAGTAACAAGGGGATCACTCCGTACGAGGCATGGACAGGCAAGAAACCTTGTCTGGATCATATCAGAATTTTTGGATCTGACGCCTTTATGCACATCCCAAAACAATTAAGAAAGAAGTGGGATAAGAAGTCGGAAAAGATAATCCTCATCGGATACCAAGCTGATTCTTGCAATTGCAGACTGTATAACTCACGTAGTGGAAAGATAATTGTATCCAGAGACGTCGTGATCCATGAGACGAATCATGATCAACAAGTCCACTCAGATGTTGAAATTACACTGTCTATTGCGCCAAACATGAGCCAAGAAATGACAGTCCAAAAAGATGCGACTGAATATGATCCACACGAAGATGAAGAGTTGGTCCACAAGGAAGAGAATCATCAACAGACTAAAAGATCTATTTCCGAAGATCCTAAACAGTCACGTTCACCAGAGGATGGAAAGCGAGTCCTGAGAGATAGACAAACATTGAAGAAGCCTAGTCGTTACGAAGCCAATATCGTTGAATTTGACGAACCCATCTCATATGAGGATGCTATTTCTTGTGAAGACGCCGCTAACTGGATAAAGGCCATCAATGAAGAGCTTGAAGCTCATGACACAAATGGAACTTGGACTTTCGAGAAGTTACCGGAAAGCAAGAAGACAATTGGATCGAAATGGGTCTTCAAAGTGAAATACTTACCAGCTCAGAATATGTATCGATACAAGGCCCGATTGTGCGCAAAGGGTTTTACCCAAGTAAAAGGCATCGATTATCAGGAAATATTTGCCCCGGTAGCCCGATATGATTCGATTCGAGTTATGCTAGCGTTAGCTGCGCAACAAGACCTTTATATATTCCAGTTCGATGTGAAGACAGCTTTTCTTAACGGCGATCTCATCGAGGAAATCTATCTAGAAATTCCAGAAGGAGTAAGTGTACCATCCAAGGACAAAGTTTGTAGACTTACGTAGGTCATTGTATGGTCTTAAACAAGCGTCGCGATCGTGGAACCGTAAGTTTGATTTATTTATGAAACGTTTCAAGTTTGTACCGAGTAAAGCCGATCCGTGCGTATACAATATCGGTGATTCTGAATATGGAAAAATCTATTTAATTATTTACGTGGACGACGGACTCCTATTAGCATCGTCTAAAGAAGCGTTAGATGCTGTATTGAGCGAACTAAAAACAAATTTTAAAATTACTGAGGGTGATGCAAGTTCTTATATTGGAATGAAAATCGTCCGTGATTCAGAAAACAAACGTATCTTTATACATCAGGCGTCTTATATTGAACGTGTTCTCCGTCGATTCAATATGCTAGAAGCAAATAGCAAAGAAACACCTCCGGATGTAGGTATAGGTTTATATTCGGCGGGAGATAATAACAACGATAATAATATTTTATATCGACAAGCGATAGGTAGTCTTATGTTCCTTGCTACTGTAACACGACCAGATATCGCATTTATCGTGAATTACTTGAGCAGATTCATGTTAAGTTATGATGAAACACATTGGCACGAAGTTAAGAAAGTTTTTCGCTATTTGAAAGGAAAGAAGCATCTAGAGATTCTGTATGAAAGTACGAGTGACGACGCATGCATATGTGGATTCTCACACTGAGAAAAATATCCAGCGACTCTAATCGGAAAAAACCGTTCGAACATCTTATCCGATTGATTTTGATTGGATTTGGGGCTATCCGATGAAATGATAGATGCCTTTATCCGATGAAATAAAATTTCCAATGAAATATGAACGGATAATGAGCTGCGATTTACTTATCCGTTTAAATTGATATATAATATGATCGGACATTGCACTTGATCGGATAAAAATAAAGTATTTTTTCCGATCAAGCTGAATGTCCGATCTAATGTACTATATCCGATTAAAATATTATCCGATGAAATACAATTTATCCGTTCAGAAGTCCGATGAAATACATGTGTACACATTTCGAAGTCGCGCGTGCACTGGTAACTCGATTGTGATTGGTCGTGCTAACAGTCGTACCGATGGGCCCAGCGTGCACGAGCCTGCATTCTATTGTCTCGTGTTCGTCATCGAAGCGTGAAGGCAGCGTAAAGGCAGTGTGACGCAATATTGTGTGCAATATTTTGTATATAATATTGTTGTATTACGTATTTTATGTGTATTATTACGTGTCAAGAAGTAAAAGAAATGAATTCGAATACAGTGAGAACTTTTCTTGAAGAACTGAAAGTAGAAGAAGAAGTGATACAAATTCTCATTGGTAAGTAATATCTTTTTTCCCTATTATACAGCCTTGACAAACGTTATGAGGCACTCCAAAATAAAGTTTTCAAAATATTTTTTATGTTATTTGTGTTGTTTTAAAAAAACTTTATTTTAATACGGTGTCTCATAATTTTGGCCAAGGTTATATATGTTTTTATGCATGTTTATCATTTCTAAATACCATTTCCTGCACGCAATTTTTTAGAGGAAGATGTAACGATTCAAGATCTTGAAACTTTGAAAAAAGTAGATCTTGATGCTCTAATTAAAAAATATGGTCAGAGAAGGAGATTTGCTAGAGTTTTGATACAATGGATGCTAAAACGTGGTCTTCCTGTAGACCCGGAACTTTTAGTGGTATACACATTTTTTCTCTTTTTGTTCTCTTTTTAATTTGCTTTTTTTCTTATTTTATATTGCGGCAATATTTAAATAGTAGATATTGAAGTATACATTATAATAATATTATAATTTCTCTACATTTCTTATTTCTTGTATAAATAATATGAAATATAAATTAATTAATAGATTTATTCATTTATTTTTGTTACATTATACATGATAGAAATTGCTAACATATATCAACAAAGAATTTCTGGAATCAGTATAGCTGTAAATAAAATACTCAAAATTAATCCATTTTAAGATATATTTCTATTTTTGTATTTATGTAATTATTTTATGTTTGATTCATTTATATAATTATTAACATTTTCTGACTTTGTTATATATTTTTATAAGTGGTGACAAATGTTTGCGTTTTTAGTAACGTTGGTACACTTAACAGAACGCTGTATTTTTTCTTTTTTCCCAGGCATTTGGTGAAGTGCAACCTGCACAAGTCATTTGTGAACAGAAGAATCAGTCTTCTCTAGTGGAGAGCTCTGATGAAATCTCATTGTCGACTTCTTCTGATCAATTGTCATCTACATCTTTCATCACCGATGACAGCAATATTACTTTTTTAACGACGGATTTGACATTTCCATTGCTAACCAGCCAGGAAAACAATACAGAAAAGCTTCCATTTTCTTTAGAAATAAATGTTGAAGACTGTTCTGATGAACATACAGCACTTGAGGAAGATTTGGAAAACGTATCAAAGCTGGACGACAAGATTTTATATTTCATAGATAAACCAAAAGCTCCGTTAAAAGAAAAAAACGTTCAGCAGTTGCAAGTGCAATCAGTAATTTCTCAAGAAAAGAAAGAAACAGAAGATTCGCAATCAAAAAATCCATTGTTCTTCCTATTACAAAAAAACGGACTCCGTTGCCGAGAACTTGTTAGTCATTCCCAACGCAATAATTTTGTGCTGGAATGGCGCGACATCAACTTAATTGCAAGAATTACTGCAAAGCATCTTCTTAACTTGGCCATTCCGCCAAAACGCAAAATATTGTCATCAACTCTAACAAGGTGGGCGCAGTATTTCAAGTGTCTTTTTCCAAAGACACCGACATTCTGTTTCTATGATTTTAAATACGAGCCATCTCAACAGAGGGATGGAACTGTAATTCAGAAAAAAAGAGCAGAGGGAGCACTACAAGTTCAACTTTTTCAAGAAAGAAGAAAATTAATTAAGGAAGATCGAACTGTTTTGCTGAGGCGTCCAAGTACATCAGAATCTATCGACACTAACAAAAGTTTAAGTTCTTCGAATGTACCTAACAAGTCTTCATCACACGTTTTTATCAAAAATACTTGGAGATCTGTCGGTCTACAAGAAGAGGGAGCGCGCAGTAAAATTTCAACAACAGGTAACTTTTTTATTATTATTTTTAATATTTGATTTTTATATTTTTATTATTTTTTATTTTTTTATTTGTAATTATTTTTTACTTCTTTTTCAGATAGTGATCCAGAATTACAACATCATTTACATTTTTTGTGCAATCGATTACACAACAAATTAACTCTACAATTAGTTACTTCTTGGGAAGTAACTTTCAATTACAGGCAAAATCTACTTGTTAACCAATCGGGAACTGTTTGGGATTACTTAAATCATTTCCCATTCTTAAAAATTGACGACATTGGAAAAGCTTTTGTAAGTTTTTTTTAAATTTTTTATATACTTTATTATAATACTTTTTTCTTTACTTTTTCTTTAATTTTGATTTTGTATTAATTTTTTATTTGAAATAATACTTTGTCATCTTTGTAATAACTTTTTCATATTGTATATCATATTTTATTTTAAAATTATCTTTTTATAATATTTTTAACAAATATTTAATTGGCTAACTATTGAATTTTTTTCTATTATAAATTGTTGCTTTAATTATTTTTTATTATATTTTACGTGATTTAGAATTATAGAATGTTTATTTGATTTATCGTTATTTCAATGAGAGATAAAGTGCATAATTGGACAATTGTTTTTCGTATGTTTTATATGAGGTGTAATATTATAGTCAATTAATAAAAAGTAACTTTTTTATTCGTATTAGATTTGCAAAGATTTCGATCAACTATATCCCGACATAGATCCGATTATAAATTCAAATGAGCAGAAAAACAGTAAATTGGCTGCAATTCTTGATGATTGCAGACTCGCAATCATTAAAACAGCCAAAGTTATAATTAAAGGAGGTAGTCAACGAAAACACAAGGACGTAGCTACTTCATTTCTCGAATTAGCTGAACGTAAGTCTTATTTTTCTTTTCTAACATTTATATTTACTAACATTATTTATTAACATTTTTATTTTATATTTATATTTATATTAATATTTACATTTACATTTTTAGTCCGGATTTGTTTCATTACATTGATTTGATATTTAATATATTTTATAAAATGTAGTCTTTATTTAAAATTATGAAAACAAATTTTAATTCTTAATTTTACATTATTCAAAGACACATTTATTCAAATTATTAATAAAAAAATAATGAAAAATTAATCAAGCTATTAATATGTTGCGTGCTGTATTATATTTTTGATATGACACAGAAGTTGTTAATTATGTTTCTTTTGTTAAAGAACTGATTTTTTTTCAGGAGATTCAGATATTCAAATTAGGGTGACAGGAGCTCTACTCCTTCTTCCTTTCATATTTCCTCATACTTTTGTAGAAAGGACATGGAAACCTACAAGATTAGATATTGCAGACTCCTTCATCGCTAAAGTTTGTAGTGAAACAGACGTAAAAGAATACATTGAGCATCGACGTAAATCACTGTCTAAAACTAAAAGGTCAGTTAAAATCCCTTCTTCTGTACAACCGTATATTTTGGCAGTAGGTTCAACTTGGGAGAATATTAATCATGTATATATCATTGTGGACCAAATCTTGTATACGTGTGAATCTATAATTGAAGCGACAGAATTATGTTTTAAATTATTTCATGCTTATTACTCTGATTATCCCGCTGAATGTAGACATGTGTGGCAATTAATCCAACAAGGATTTTATAAATTGTTTCTTAAGGATCACGATTTACAGAGGCGAACAATTACTAAGGCTTTAGCTGATATTGGCATTGAATTAAATGCTACAGAAGAATCAGTACCGAAAAAGTTAAAAAAGTAATTCAGATATTTTAAAATTTTTTTTGTCTACTGTGATACCTTGACAAATTTTCTTGTTTTCTTTTTTTGCCACATTTGCTTACTTTTTCTTATTTTTGCAAATTTAAGAAGCAATTGTGAGATTTTTAAATTTGTTTTTTAAAATTAGTAAGAATTACTATTTAGTATATTTTGATTACTTTCTTTAATTATTACTTTGTTTCATTATTGCTGTAACTTTTCGTGCATCATGTTAACGTGCTACTATTGTTCAGTTAAATTTAAAGTAATTTCAGAATTATTTCATCATTACCAATATACTTGTTCCAAATTCTCTTTTTCAACATCTTCACGTATTCGGTGTGGAGAATTTGGATGTTTTCGGATTTTCGATTCATTGCCATGTCTTCGAATGCATTTGAAAAGAACACATGGTGCGATAAATAAAATTATTTCAGTAACAGATGCCATTATATCCGATACTGGTGAAACTGTAAATGCATTAACTCATCCTGAAACAAATAATGTATCAACTAATACTTCCAGACTGAAAATGAGAATTTGGAATAATGAAATTTTTGAAAACGATGAAATCAATTTTGAAGAAGCAGCAGCTTTAGATAATGATAATAATCAGACTGCAAAAAGCATCCTTGTCCGTGACTTGGCTCTAATAGTTAGTTCACTTTTATCTGATCTTGTTGTTCCTAGGAAAACTGCACAATTCTTAGTTAAAAGTTTATCAGAGTTTTTGACTATTTCGTTAACGTTAGCTTTGCAAAAATGGTACAACACGCGTGAAGATGGTATAATCGACATTAATAATATTCTGCAGATAATTAGAGATTCAGTATCCAATTTTTCAAGTGAATATAGGAGAAATCAATATTATAAAACAATTGGTACTTTGATATTTCCTCAAGAATATCCTATTGCACTTGAAAATGTTGAATTTTCTAGGGGTTTAAGAAAACGAATTACAGGTACAGGACAATTTATCCCACTTCGACATGTTTTACACCGATTTTTATCAATTCCTGGTGTCTTTACTGCTATTGAAAAGTATATAGATGACTGTATGCATTCCTCTTCAATTATTAACATTATTCGTACGTCTACTTGGTTACAAATTAAACAATTTGAAAACGCTAATGAAAAAATTTATCCTTTATTCATTTATTATGATGAATTCGAAACAGGAAACCCGTTATCGAGCCATGCAGGAATACATAAATTAGGAGCAGTGTATACTTCAATAGCATGTTTACCTCCAAATTTAGCTTCTCAAATAAAGTACATTTTTCTTTTCGCTTTATTTCATTACTCCGATCGTTTAACTGAAACTAATAATCAAGCGGCTTTCCAACCAGTTATTAATGAACTAAATTATTTATCAAGAGTGGGAATTTCTTTAGATATTCCAGAATTTCGGGGAGTTATTAAATTTAAATTGGGAGCAATACTAGGAGACAACTTAGGGCTTCATTCTATACTTGGATTTGTAGAAAGCTTTAATGCTAAATATCCATGCCGAATTTGCAGAGCTAACAAAGAACAAGTGAAACAAATGTGTTCTGAAGATATTTCCTTATTACGAAATGAAGAAAATTACGTAGCTGATGTAAATAGCAAAAATTCTAGTGAAACAGGTGTCAGATATAAAGCTATTTGGTACGCGGTTGACGACTTCAATCTCTTTAAACACGTAGCCGTTGACATAATGCATGACATTTTAGAAGGTGTTGGCAGTTACACAATGGTTTTAGTAATAAATTCATTACTATCAAAAAAATATTTTTCTTTAAAAGAATTAAATGACAGGGCTGAAGCTTTCGATTATGGTCCTGATACAAATAGTAAACCACCTTTATTATCTTCAGAAAATCTGTCTAAAATAAAATGGAAAATGTCTTCCATTGAAACCTTACATTATATTAGGTACTTTTCTTGTTTAATATCTCACAAAATACCTGATGATGATGAGCATTGGCGTTTATATATTCTTTTAAAGCGAGTATTGGATTTTGCAATGACGGACTCTGTTGATACAAACATATGTGACCGTTTAAGATGGACAGTAAAGAACTTTAATGATTTGTACTTACAACTTAGCCCAACTCCTCTTAAACCAAAATTTCATCATTTAATTCATTATGCAGGGATAATGGAAAAATTAGGTCCTTTGTGTAACTTATGGTCTATGAGATACGAGTCAAAACATAGAGTAGCAAAAATTGCAGCTAGAAGTTTAACTAATAGAATCAATATTTGTAAGAGCCTTGCAATTAAAAATCAATTGCAATTAAATCATTTGTTTTTGGAAAATAAACTTCCTTGTAATTTTCAGCATTCCCGTAAAATAAAGAAAGTAAATTTGACATTTCTTTTAACACAATTTAATCTATCACCCTCCACAAAGTTATATAACGTATTCTTCGTCACAATTAATGGTATAACGTATAAACCTAATGATGTTTTAGCATTACATTTCGATCCAGAATGCGGAAATCCTATTTTTTTCGAAATTTCAAAAATTTTTATTTGCTCCATTAATAAAAAAGTATACTTTGAAGGCCACTTGTTTGAAACTATTACATTTGATTTTCATGTTTATGCATATTTAGTTGAAAAGACAGATTGTCAGCATTTTGTATCCTACGACTCGCTTATATTTGTACATCCTAATACTATCTCTATATTACCACCTTTTGGACACTTTTACATTACAGTGCGGAATTCATTTGATTAAAGCGATAATTATTTCATTTTTTTTATTTTAAGACCAATGCTACATCATTAAGTATTTTTATTTTATCAAAGTGCGATATGCATAAGATATATAGCTACGTTATGGGATTAAATAAAATTCCTTTACTGTATAAATATATAAATTAACACGAAAAAACAAAACAAAAAAAAATGTTTTAAACTAAAAAAATATTTTATATCCTTTATATATCTTATCTGTGTTATTTACAACTGTAACTGAGAGAATGTAATTCATTGTGTTATACTTGCTACAGTATTTATATTTTTGTAAACAAATAATTACAATCATATTTACATGTAACTCTATGTAATAATTAAGAAATAAATATCTATGTATTAAATGTAATTTTTATTTTTATTTCACTTATGCACTTCTTCATCATCCATTTAGCTCTTCTTTTTATTGATATTTTTCTTAATATTCGTGTGACATATAATATGTATTACGTACACAGGGTTTGCATGATAACTCGTGCTGAGCTTGATGAGTGTTTTCAGCTAAACAGAAAAGTCCTATATATATTTGTTCGCAATTTTTTCTTTTTTTTCCATAATTCTTGAGATTTTAATTAAAGAAAATCTCCGAACGCCGATTTTTTATACTTATAATTAGTATCCATTAATTCTATTCTATAATTGTAATATCTCATAATTTGCGAAAATGATTATATATGCTTTTTTTGTTCAGCTCTATACTATCAGCTCATGCTGAGCATTGGTGCCACTTATCAGCGTAATTTGAAAATGTTTATATTAATATATTTAAGGATTTTACGAAAATATTTATTTTGATATATTTAAGGATTTTTTGAAAATATTTATATATTTAATATGTATGATTTTTTAAAATTATTTATTAATTATATTCAAGGATTTTTTAAAAATATTAATTGGTATATTTAAGGGGAAAATTCCGATCAGATGTTACATCGGATGTTATTGATCGGACATAATATAATCGGACTATTCATTCAAAAAGTAACAAACGGATATTTTAGATCGGATATTTTCTAATCGGAATTTTCTGATCGGATATTGTTGATCGGTCATTTCAGCCTTCATCGGTTATTTTTTCCGATTGAAGAGATCAATAATATCCGTTTGTTACCTTTTGAATGGATTTTCCGATCAATTTTAACCGGATTTTTCTCTCAGTGCAGACGCGGACTACGCGGGTGATTTAGACACTCGCCGATCATCAACGGGTTATCTATTTAAATTAGCGGGAGGTGCCGTCACGTGGGGCTCTTCTCGACAGAGGGCCGTATCGTTGAGTACTACTGAAGCAGAATAGATTGCGGTGTGTGAGGCTGTGAAAGAAGCCATGTGGCTTAAGCAGCTATTAAATGATAGCGAAAATCAGTGCACAAATCCAATCATCATCAACGTTGATAATCAAAGCGCGTTAAAATTAATTCGTAACCCAGAATTCCCCCGAGTAGAAATCATGATTAGGAACTGGTAGGATTTTTGATAGTTTTTTCTGATGTCTGGACAGGCACTGATAAGGAAAGCAGGCGTGGTTCCAGCCATAAAAGTTACGACTGGCCTCTTCGAAAACTGGGCAGTTTTACTAATTAGTTCTGGTCAGTTCTGGACTGGCTCTGGGCTAGTTTTTAAATCGGTTTTTGGATATATAGAAACATTTCTTTAAATTTTGGTACAGTAAATACAAAACAACTTAAACTTTTTAAATATTAAAATATTTATTTTATTTAGAGTTTTATTTCATTTTTTAAGTTTTCTTAAATGTAACACTTATAAAATCTTTTATTCTTAAAATTAAACTTATAAATTCAAAATTAATTTTTAACACAATAAATAAAAATAACATTTTCTTTTATTCTTTACTCTGCTTTCTTGCAGTACGTTGGCCTTCCCAATCCTTCGCATTAGAGATTACGTTACCTAGACAAGTAAAGAAAGATTTTTCTGTCACTACTGGATTTTCTTGATCCTTGTTATATGTTTTAAATACAATATCTGAAATAATACATTGCATTTAATAACAATAATTATTAAGCACAGTCGTCTACAATTAATAATTTAGAAAGATTTTTTGTCAGAATCGGAACAAGTGCCTTGGTAGTCTCAGACCGATGATACAACGGCAAGTCACTGTATCTTTAAATATTAGTTTAGTGCCCTGTTGCTTAAGGCACGTATACTGGCACATAACTACTCTTTTGACAAGTTTTCTCAAAATACTTGTCAACATTTTTGACACACTATTATCCCTATCTATTGTTACATAGATGGATCGCTTCTGAAATATGAATAAAATACATTTTCACTCAAAGACTAAATTTGTGTTAATAAAAAATAGTTATCTAATAGTTTCTTTAATTTTTATGATATTAATGCTCACGAATTCCAACTGAAAATTTTTTTCAATTTTGAGACGATTATCAAATTCTTGAAAGTCTTCTAAAGCACTAAAAGGCATGTTTAACTCGTATTTCTCCATGAAATCAGTAAAGGTTATTATACAATCATCATCTTGATTGATATTTCTAACGCGTAATATCTCTTTTACGTCTCTTATTTCATTTGCCATCGATGTGATTTGCAGAGTTAATTTTCTTTGCATTGATATTATATCGTTAATGCCTTAAAAATAAATATTATTTAAATAAAGTGATTACAAGAGAGTAATTACAAGTATATTTCATTTTATACGTACCATTCAAAATTTTTTTTGAAGTATCTGGAGCAGATAAGTTATCAGTGGGTTTTTGGGTTTTTGATTGATGGACTATAAATAAAAATATTATAACTAAAATTAATATAAAAAAAATTAATATTGTAGCAAAATAATAGAATAATTGCATTATAATTACAACTCGGTGATTCAGCAATATACAATTCATTGTCAGAAATATCATTTTTTGATAATGATGACAGATTATCTTCTTTTGATTTGTAGATGATTTTTGTTTTCTATTACTGCCTCAGGAAAAGTAGTAGTTCTTTGGAAATTTTCGGAATCGCTTTCGCTGCTATCTTTACTTGAATCTTTTAAACCTGCAAAAATAATGGACATTTATAGAACATAAAATTTGTGGACGAATTTTTTTCTTATAACTAACTGTTAGTTTCATTCAACTCTAAATCGTCCTCTTCATCGTCCAGCTGGGGAACTTGGGACAATAGTTTTTTTCCCAATTTTTCGTTGTCTTTTAAAAATTTTTTTCTTTATTGCATTAAATGTTTTTAATGCTTTTCTTCAGCATGTTTCTCGCAATCTGTTGTATAAGCGTATTTTTTAGTTTTAATTTTTAATTTGTCTAATGCATCAGTGTAGTTATCTGAAAATATATAGCAAATTATTTTACTTATTATTTTAGTTATTTTACTTTTATTAATTTTTTTTTTAATTATGTTTCCTATTATGCAACATATGTTGAAAATATAATTTTGCAACACTTATTACCTAAATTGTTGTACGTATTATTTTTTTTAATTATTATAATTATCAATAATTTTTTATTGTTAAAATGTTGAAAAAAATAAATTATAAAATTTTTTGTTAGTTAATGTGTAATGTTTTTTACTTGAATCGCCTCGTATAATAATTGGCCATTTTCTCCAACTCTGCAGAGGATTGGATTTTGTTCGCACAAGATGGTGTAAGAAATCACGTCTTTTTTCATTTTCAAGTTCTCCGGAAATGGTGAAACGAGCCTACATGATTTTATGTCGTATGTAATCCAACTAGTTGGTACAACATCCACAATTTTTTGGAGACAATTTTCTTCGTGGAACTCGATAATTTGATAATGGCGTTCAGTATCCATCAGCTTTAATAACACATTTAAGTCAAAACTTAATGAAATGAATATTAAATATTATTTATATTAGAATTTCACAACTTACTTTAGAACGTTTAGAGGGTGTAGCGTATGGATGATGTTGGCTGTGATGTTTTCGAGTTGCCATTATTTTCAGTCAAATTTCTTTTACCTTCACGAAAACTTTTACACATGAGATAAAACATGTATTTTATATGTCAATTGATTTTAAGGTTAACATGCTTTCGTTATCATAGTCAATTACCAGCATACAAAAAAAAATAGAAAATAATTGCAATCGATTATTAATCGTCTTCTGTTGTAAAATTGGTAATCGATTATGACTATAATAATTGCTGGATGTTATGTAGTACAAGAGGAAAAAAAATAATCGTTTGATATTAAAACTACTTACCTCGTATTAGACACACGCCTTGTATTAGACACACTTCGGTAAAACACGCTCGCTTCGATCAGCACCCGGAATATTTAGTTCTCAGTACACTACTTACTTCGAAAGCTAACGAACGATTGCGCCGTCTTCAATCTGTGATCTTCAATCCTCTTTATTTAAACTTTTCTAAAAACATCTATCAAAGTCAATAACCATTTTGCCTAATTTGTCCCTCTACATAGAGGCGTTTATACAATATGGTATCGCAGTAAATACAAAATCAGCATTACCAATAGATAAAGTACTGATTTTATAGCGAAATTTTATTTTCATTGACCATAATCACAGTAAGTTTTACGATAAAAAACAAAAAATAAGTGTTTCTACTGAATATTGGTGAAATACTCAGTGAATCTTAGTGAAATCCTATTTTATTGTTTCCATTATAGTAACATTTTCACTGATTCACTTTATAAAAAAAAATAATAATTTTAGGTTACATTCACGGATGTTAAAGGCGCTAAATATTTATACATATTCAGAGTGTATTAAGAGATACGATCAACTTCAAGTGCAGCGTGAAACTGTATTTAACATCCGTGAACGTAATCTGAAATTATTATTTTTTGTCGTTTATAAAAGACTGAAACTTTTGCATTGCAAATCTAGAAAATAGTAAATTAACATCAAGGTTTAATTATATTATAATTGTGTTCGTGTTATTTATTTTTTTTTATTTCTACGTACTATCTACTACTTATTACTTTTTACTTTTTTGTTTCATAGTCTATCATAAAAATGGATAGAATAAAGTATACGGCAAAAATGCGAATGAGACGCAAACGTGCTTTATATAAAATTCAAGAAAGTAAGTAATGATGTTAATATATTTATTATTTATAGTGTTATATATATAAAGGGATCTCGATAAAACTGTGATTAAAAATTATTAAAAAATACGATCTTTTATTGTGGAAAAAATGTTAAATCTCTCCATAAATGTCAATAAAGAGCATTTTAATACTTTTTTTTAATTATTTTAATCTTTCACAGAGGATAATATTCAAAATACGGATTGTCAAGAAGAAGTAGAAGATGAAGAAGAAAACAGAATAGAAATGGAAATAGAACAACAAGATGACGCAGACATAAGTAATGAAGACGAAATGGAAATAGAGCAACAACGTGAAGAAGACGAAATGATTGAAAAAAATAATGTCGAAATAGAAGTTCATGATGAACAAGAATTTTATTTAGAATCGGAAAAAGAAGACGAAATAAACGACGAAACTACAAGTGACGATGAAATCGAAGATGACGTAGAAGTAAAGGAAATAATGGAATTACGAGCATGGGCCATTCAAAATAACATCCCGCATATCGTTTTGGATGCTTTATTAAAAATATTAAGAAATTGTTTGCTTCCTACTCTGCCTATATCAGCTAAAACTTTTCTGAGAACAAACTCTGTCCGATTTAACATAGAACAATTCCCATTAAGTCGTGGCCAAACTACAGCAGAATTTGTTTATTTTAGTATAGCCGAAGGACTTCGTAAATGTATTAATGTAAAACTTCATGCAAATAATACGTTAAATCTTATATTTGGTATCGATGGAACATCGCCATATAAATCAAGCGCTCTTCAGTTATGGCCAATCATGTGCAAAGCTCAATTTGAGCCAGATTTATATGAGCCATTTCCTGTAGCAATCTATGCAGGTGATAAGAAACCAAATGATTTGAAGTTATATTTACAAAAATTTATCGAAGAGATTAATGAATTACAAACGAATAACATAGTTTTAGAAAATCAAATTTTTAAAATCAACGTCATGTGTTTTGTCTGTGACAGGCCAGCTCGTTCGTTTATTAAGGGCATAAAAGGACATGGAGGATATTATGCTTGCAAACGATGCGTTGTTCGTGGAAAACGAGTTGCTCTTCATGAAACGAAATGTTCAAATAAGACAATGATTTATCCGGAAATTGACTGTGCAGAAAGAACAGATTTATCATTTCGACTCGAAGAAAATCCGGAACATCACATTTGTAAAACACCTTTAATTACTATACCAACAATTGATATGATTTTTCATTTTGTGCTAGATTTCATGCATCTTTGTTGCTTGGGTGTAATGAAAAAATTATTATTAGATTATTGGATTCAAAGTAATTCCAACGTAAAATTAGGCGTGCAAGGTAGACTCGAAATTTCTCGGCGATTGCTTGCCCTTCAATCTCAAATACCAGTGGAATTTCAACGAACTACAAGATCGCTAGTGGATATTTTGAAATGGAAGGCAACAGAATTTCGATTTTTTCTATTATATAGTGGCCCTGTTATTTTAAAAGGTATTCTGCCTAAATTATTATACCGGCATTTTCTTTTATTTCATGCTGCGTGCAGAATTCTTTGCAGTAAAGAATTGGCTTTAAAATATAATGCGAAAGCTAAAACATACTTGCGAATTTTTGTATTAACTGCTCGTAATTTTTATGGATCAGCTTCACAAATTTTGAATATGCACAATCTCATTCACTTGGCTGACGATGCAAAAAATTTAAGTTGCTCATTAAGTGAGATCACTGCATTTCCGTTTGAAAATGCTATTAAAAAAATCAAACAAAAAATTCGCAGTGGTAAACATCCATTAGCACAACTGTGTCATAGGTACAGTGAATTGTGGTCGATTGATTCGGTTAAAAAAAATCCACCACCAACTATTACTATCGAAAAATTTGGACGAATCTTGTCATCTGGGGATGTTTTAGTAAAAAAGTTAAAATGGAAGAATGTTGTCCTCTCTACTAAAGAACCTAACAATACAATATTGCTTCATAATGATAAAGTAGTTAAAATTACAGATATGTACATTCCATCAATAAAAGAAATAAATGATATTATAATTGTGGGAAGATTGATGAAGATCAAAAGTTCCATGTATGCTTATCCTTTTTCTTCTAAAAAATTAAAACAATGGGAAATTGTAGATAATGAAGAAAGATCCAAAAAAATAACGTGTGGATTACATAAAATTAAATCAAAAATGGTACGTTTGGATGTCCTTGTTAGCAGCGTAACGGGGGAAAAAAAATCATACGTTATGCCACTTCTTCATTTATAAAAAATTGTATAAAATAATTGTGAAAATTAAAAAAATATATATATAATCAATGTTCTATAAAATATAATTAATGTTATAAAATATGCATAAAATATAATTGTATAAAATATAATACGTACAAAATATATGTAATTGTGTAAAATGTAATGAATGTATGAATTAGCTACGCAATATGCATAATCTTATTCACTTAGCGTCATTTAGTTCGAGATAGGGTTTTCCCTAAGTGTATCAAGACTGGAAATCTAGTCAGTGGTTGGTCGGAAAATGGCCCGAAATGCCTTGACTGAAAACACTGAAAGGGGCCTAGTGCCCTGTCAGTTTCCCATCAGTATTTTTAGTCAAGGCATTTCGGATCATTTTCCGACCAACCACTGACTAGACTTCCAGTCTTGATACATTTAGGGAAAACCCTATCTCGAACAAAGGAAAACTGCTTAGAGTCCTCCTTAGAGCCCGGCTAACATTACTTATTAGGGAATGCCACGACACTTTCTGAATAGATACTATTCAGACATCTGGTATTCCATGACAGATTTCTACTCGGGCCATAGGCGAAGCAAGCACATTGATATTCGTTATCATTTTGTGCGAGAGAAATATGAGAATGGTGATATTAATGTTCAGTATGTGTGTAGCCGAGATCAGTTAGCTGACATTTTAACAAAGTCGCTCGGGCGAGATATTTTTAAGAAACTACGTACAAATATTGGAATGACGTGCATAAGCATGGAGACTATCAAAGGGCGGGAGTGTTGAGTTTTATCAAACTTTTATTTCTTTTCTAGTCTCGCATGCATGTTCTTTATTTTACTTTCTAGTGCATTTTGTTTTTCGCGCCTTTTGTTTATATTCTTGCAACCCGCTGTGCGTCGCCAACACACGATAGCGACTTCCGTTCTTCCTTTTTCTTTCTGTTCTATGCGTGATATATTCTAGTTATATGGCGTGCATCGAGTATCGTCGCGTTCTGTGCGTTGCGTAATATTGCGTTCTGTATATTCTTTTTCAATAAAGTTTTTTTTTAACCATTATCTTCAAGAGTTATCTTAATACTTTTATGCACAAAATAATAAATTATCTATCTATCTGAAATAAATATCTTGTAATTAAAACAAATAAAACTTTTTATAAATATATCTCACAAATATTTTCTTATAAATCAATATAAACAAAATTTTTTTAAATTGCATTAATCAAATCAGGAAAATATAATTAATAAGAGCAAAGAATTTGTCGCTGCTAGATCGATCTAACATGTTAATAATTAATTGTAAATTATCAGGGTTGGGAAGTAACTCGTTACTTGTAACGAAGTTACAGTTACAGTTATTTTTTTTCGGTAACTATAACTTAACTTTGTTCCTTTTTTTTCATCTATAATTGTAACTTAACTTAGTTACATATTTATGGTAACTAGTAACTAATTTAACAGTTAATTTAATATTCTATATATGGTTGTATTAATTGTAAGAATTAGGGCCTATCCAGACAAACTTGCATAGTCACATAAACATATGCATAAGGAAAGGAACAAAATTGTAATGAAATTTGTCATATTAAGTGTAGATTCGATATTTGTTAAATAAATAGACGGATAACCGTATAGATATTAATTATAAAATTCAACAGAAATAAACAAATTCTCATTTAAAGAATGCACTGCTACCTAGTAATAAATTATCTTTGAGGATGATTATCATATAAGCATAAAATTGAGACTTTAAGAAGAACTGAAACATTAGTCTACAATTTTTCGGAAAGTTACGACTGTTTGTGTGAAATTCGTGAATTTTTAAACTAAAAAATCTTAATTCTATAATTTTTATTCTAAGTGTATAATAATTTATTTTAAATTATTAATTAATTTAATATTTTAAATGTATTTTTATTTTAAGTTTAAAACAATTGTGATTTATTACATATAAAATAATATAACATAAAATTAAGTACCTATGTAGTATATAATAAGTTAATAAATCTTGAAATGTAAGATTCGTATATTAAAAATAGTAGTGTACATTTATTGCAAAAAAGTAACTGAAAAGTAACGATTAGTTACATTTTGAATAACTATAACTGTAACGTGTTACTTTTTAGAATCGGTAACTTGTAACTGTAACTGTAGTTGTTTTTTCAATGAAAAGAACTGTAACTTTAACTAGATACTTTTACAAAATAACTTTCCCAACCCTGTAAATTATACATGCTTATTTTAAAAAATTGGATTTACTCATATGTAGAAGTTAAATGGAGAAGATCAGCCGCGTTTTGATGTTGATAACGATATTATACATAATTTAATGCAGTGCTCGAAATTATTTCAGCTTTTCAGTCGATTCTCGCGGCACACGCCTCCTTTCTTCTTACCGCACGCACTGCAGTCGCTTGGGCCAGCGCCGCCGAGCGTTAGGAGCGGTGCTATCCGATTAATGTTAAAAAAATTTATTTAAAATATTTTTGCAGTTTTAACACAACTTTACAGGGTCGTCAGAACCATAGCACAGAGAAGCCTAATACCCGGACTAGACCGGAGGATGATCCTACTTGTGACTAATTCGAGTGCATAGTTTGATAGACCGACCGAATCGATTTAATTGGATAAAAAAATTATTTGATATGGTTGATACGATTGGAAGTCAACTTTAATATAATTTTAACCTGTCAAACTATGCACTAAGCCACAAGTAGGAGCATCCTCCGGTCTAGTCCGGGCATAAGAGGCGCCATGCCGTTTATCATACGATGCTTTCTCTAGGCCGCACAGTGATGCCAACTGGATCAATTTTAAAGCCGGCGGAACTACATGGCCAGATCCACTTTTCGCTATGGTAAAACGGCCGAGGGGTGCATGTCCGTGCTAAATCTATAATTGTGGATTCTTCCGTGACTTAAAACAAATGTATAGAGTGGGGATAACGTATAAAAGACGCTAGCAAAGGAATGTAACGTTTCTGATCGTCAGATCTGTTTCCAGTATACTTTTTGATTCTCGTATAAATTCTAAGTTTAAATCTTATCGCGACTATAAAAAATTATTAATATTACATAAACAACTAAGTCAGTGGGATAATCATCGGAGATAAACTATAATATTAATGTAATATTTCGTATGTAATATTATATGTAATCTAATATTAATAATAATGTTTCACGATTATCAACTCCTATTTCATTTTGTTCGATGTATAACACGCGAGATAATATAGAATTCAAAATAAAATTCTATTTCTAATTTTATTCTGTGACAAAAGCATGTAACTCGAAATATGTGTAATTTTAGTTTATATATATACGAAACAATTTGGTGAAGAAACAAACGGTAACAAAAATGTTGAAGCTCGAAGTACCTACGCTTAATAAGGTTCTGAAGAATAGTGGTGGAGACGAAAAACTTTTGGAAGAATTGTTGTCGAAATTTCGACTGTGGCTGAAACAGCAAAGTCATCTTCCTCAAGGTTTGTATTTCTAATTTTCAATCAATTTTATCGATTAATTCGTTAATTATTATCTAAAAATCTAAAAAATATACTAGTTTAATAATCATAATATCTACATTTAATGATAAACAATTCCACAATATTTTATTCATAATTTCTTTATCATTTCTTTATATTATATATATTAAGATAATGACGAATATTATTCTACGCTTTACAGATATCTCTGACCAACGATTAAAATTTTTTATTTATGCTGTAAAATTTAATATCGAACAAGCCAAAAAAAATTTGGATACGCTTTACACTCTTCGTAATCTGGTTCCGGAATTTTACGAAAATTACGATCCGTTTAGCGATGATATTAATCATTTTCACACATATTTGTAAGCATTTAAACCAATCATAAAGTATTTTTAAATAAATGTTGCTATAGAAAATATTTTAAATGTAAGAAAAAGTATGATTAAAAATTTTAATTATAATATTATAATAATAAGCAATAAATATTATTACAAATAATTATATTAATTGCAAAAATTTTTTGCCTGATAATTTACAATCTATTTTTGTATTTGCACAAACACGTACAATATTATTTTAAATATTTACTTATTTTAGGCAGAGTGTATGTTTGCCAAAGTTAACACCACAAGGATACAGATTATATATCTGTCGTCTAATAAATAATGACGCTTCTCTATATAATGCTTGGGCGATTCTAAAGTACGTATGTAATATCTACAAAGTAGAACAAATGTACTATTTCACAAAAACATTACATGTTGCATGTCACTAACATGTGCGTGGACTAACAATAAATTATCTATAAAACTATCACACCTGCTAAAGTGATAATATATGGATAATTATGAAAGAAATTGGGCAAGTGGATTACACGTTGTAAATATTAGATTAAAGATGCTGAATAGCATATTTATTGAAGACAGTAAAATTAATTTATTTAAATCGGAAAGACGATGATAACAGAATGATAAAATTGAAATAAAAAAGCGCATAGCAAGTACAGTTTTACGTAACAAATCTTGTGGTATTTAAAAACAGTAAACAATTTTAAAATGCATTAAACCATAAAATATGCTAAGCCACACGTATTTTATTGCTACACCGGTTATTTATAATAGTGCTCGGAATTAATTCAGCTTTTCAGCCGATTCTCGAAATTGACGTCTCCTTTCCTTTCTTTACCGCGCTGCGTATCAAAATGATACGCAGACAGACTAAAATTAAAACAGTAGTAACAGTAGTTGATTACTGTTTTAACTTTTGATATTTACATATCATAAACCTTGAACTTTTCCACTGACTTATTATTTAATAATGACGCTTCACTTAAGCCTGCTATTAATATCATTTCCAATCGTTTAGCTACATTATGATAAAAATCACTTTTGAAGAAATATCGTTAAAACACTTTTTTATTTGATTGTGTTGCGTTTGTGAGCTAACGATTAACTAAGGTTACTAATATACTAATGAAATATAAAATGCGCGCGATTTAGAATTGAGAATATTACATCGGATAAAATGCGTATGTATAAGTTCTTATAAGTTGCATTTTGATATTGAAAAAGGCCTGATCACATGTCGAAATGTTTATTCTTTGTGTTTATTTGGTAAATATATATTTGCACGACCATCCAGCATTGACTCATTAGCTCTTTTTTATAAGATTTGATTCTTATTAAAAATATTATTTTTATAATTTTTAATTCTATTATTTGCAAATATTTCAATATACATTTCCATGTTAGTTCGAACGCAAAATGTTTATTTCTGAACAATTGAGAAATTTGACTTGCACCATTTGTGAAATAGGGGGCTCATATAGATGTAAAGAACAGTTTGTAGATTCAATAAAACAAAATTTTCGAACGATTGTATTTCATCCACAGATGACGTCCGAACATAATGATTAAACAATGACAAATTATAGATTTACAACAAATCCATATACATATATTTAAAAATATACATAAAATTCTTCATTTTTCTTTTGAAGATACAAAACGCATATTACTAATTAATATTGCAGGTATTTTACGATGATATTTGAGACAGGAATGGAAGACGATATAGTCCCCGACGTTGTTTCAGTTTGGGATTGTACTGGTGCAAATATTAATCATATATTAAAGTATTCACCATCTCTGTTAAAGAAATTTGATTCTTGTATGGTACATATTATTTTTTTACTATAAACCGATATCTAACAAAAAGTAATTATAATATAATTAAAATATTTCAAGGTTTGCGTATATTAACAATGGCTTGTGAAATAAGGATTTTGAGTCAAAAAAATTAGCTCAAAATTTTTATTTCACAAATCATTATTGATTTGTATTACTTCAATTATTTAGGCGGCATACAGTTTAAGGATAAAAGCGATTTACTTCATCCATGCTCCAAAATATATAGACATATTTATGAAAGCAGCGAAATCAATGTTTAGAGCAAAATTGTTCAACAGAGTAAATATATTTTGAAATTATGTAAATGTAGTTTGTTAAATAACTACAGTTTGGCCTTTATTAAAACAATTCCATAATTTTAATTGGTTCTATTTCAGATCCACGTTTACACATCAGGAATAGAATCATTATATGGAACAATACCAAAAGCAATTTTACCAGCGGATTACGGCGGTGAAGAACCGTCAATGGACATATTAACAGGTAAAATATCATTATCGTTTTATATACATGTCACATTTATCAACAATTTGAACAACTTTAAAATTAAAATGCAAAACAGAAAATAAATAGCACCTAACCATGTGTTTGATAAAAAATAAATTTTATTTTAATTATTATATCTCTATACTTAAAACTGTCTATCTTTTTTTTAAATATAATTTAGAGATTAAAAGGTGATTAAAAAATTTAAATATTTAAGAAGGAATTTTTGCTGTTATTGTTTCTAGATATGTGGCGTGCAAAGCTAGCCCAACAAAGAGACTGTCTTATAAAAGAAGGAAAACAGAAAACGCAGGAATCTCTCCGAACAAATTCTATAATAAATCCTGACGAATTGTTCGGAGTTTTGGGAACATTTAGAAAATTAGAAATTGATTAAAATATTTTTTTATAAATCAATATAATAAAAATTTTTTTAATTGCATTAATCAAATTTAAAAAATATATTTAATAAGAGCAAAGAATTTGTCGCTGCTAGATTAAACTAACATGTTAACAACTAATCCTAAATTATACATGTTTATTTAAAAAAATTGAATTTACTCATATATAGAAGTTAAATGGAGAAGGTCAGCCGCAGTTGACCTATGATGTTGTTGATGACATAATATGAATTTAATGCATATAAATTTTCGGATTTCAAATACAAGTATTTCCTGAAAAGTTAAAAATATAGCATACATTAACATTTATAACTGTTTATTTCGTTTTTTAGCAAGTCTTCTACGACAAACAAGTTTTATAATTTTGAATTATAAAAACTGAGTTTATTGTAAGTGCGAATTAAAGAGTATAACAAAAGTATAGATAAACGAGGAAAGAAATTTGGAGGAATGTAACTATGTAAAGATATTGAAAAATTAAATTAAATTAAAACATTATATTTGAGTGCTGATCATTTTTTAATCCCTATATATAATTTTTAATTCTTTAAAGTACAAACACAGGCTATACTTTTTATTTGTATATTTTATAAAGTTGATTGCCAGGTTCACACCGGTGCGCTCAAAAGTCACTCTGACGCTGCTGCACGCTTGCTTTTGTTAGTTTGCTTTGATTTTTTATTATTATTGTTTAATTATTTATTTTATTATTTTTATTATTAAATTATTATTTAATTCAATAAATATTCTGGTTTCTTTCTTGGGCTATGACAAAAAAAGCAAAATTTTGATAAGATTTTCATTGTAATTATTATGTCACAGATATATTAATTTTTGAATTGCAAAAAGATGTGGTATAAAAGCAGTGTAGATATCAGAATAAGTAAAATATTTTGACATGATTTTCTTATACTTTTTAGCAGTATAGAATAATAAAAGTATTTCAAGAACATTATTTTTCGCATATAGTTTTTCTCCTAATAGAAAAATTTTGTATTTGTTTTTTAGATTTTTTGCGAAAATGCACTTGTTTTTTCGGACTATAATTTAGTATTTGACCGATTGTTTCATACATCATCTTATTAAAAAGTAATCTCATGTTGCATAATTTTAAAGCATGGTGAAATATAAAAATATATATAAATCTGAAAAAAATAGAATACTAGTAATATATATTTATTAACTATCAGTTTTTATCATGAAGTTAACACTGCAATAAGGGGATTTAATTATTATTTAATTTTCTTAATTTTGTTTATATTTCCAGCAATTATAAGCAATCCATTCTAAATAAGGAAAGGAATCTTTTCAAGAGATGCGTACAAATAATATGTCAAATACATATATAGGAACTAACATTACTTATATTAATTACAGTTTTGTAAGACATACATATAAAAGGAAAAAAATTGATACCTTAATACATTAATATGAAGTAATAAGAGAATTGCTGAACAGAAAAAAATAGTACATTTATTGAATATATAAGAATGAATTATTGTACACGCGAAGACTTATTTATATATTTAATATGTAAAATAAGGAAAAGAAAGGAATAAATTTAGAATACTTTCTTTTTCTTTCTTAGATCTTTTAATTTTGACAAAAATAGAATAAATGTCAAATAAACTGTCATTTTAGAATATAATTGTTAACCATTCTCAGTTAAGAATCGCAGAAAAAATCTGGAACCTTTTGAGCAGAACTTTTTTTGAGTTTTTTGTGTTTTTCGCGATCAAATTTAATCGCTTTATCGAGACTCTTACAACTCTCCTGTTTACATACTCCCGTACAAATTGTATTTTCATGCCATAATGTAGTATAAAGCTGAGATTGTGCAAAATAATTATTAAAAATGTTATGATTATAAATTACTAGATATTATAAATATTTATCATTATAAATTACAAATATAATAATTAAGATGTGCAGAATTTACCAATTATTATATTTTTAACTAAAAGTTGCATATACACTTTTGATTTATTTATTTGTGCTTACCGTAGTAACATAAGCTGCAATCGTTGAAAATAAGTAAGCGTTTTTCGCATATGTGGCATATTAATGCTAATAAATCAGCGACTAGCAGTAAAAATTGCGAGACTATTCGCCGTATAATAATTTGTACCTTCTACCAAACATCTTAGCATGTGCTCCCATTCAGGTGTTACTTGCCGTAAATACGGTCTCACCCAAGTTTCGGTAAAGTTTCGCCCCCTTTGCTTTATCTCCTCAAGACTGCCGCGACAAAAGTTGTATCTAGAGCATAGATTTATTGTCGGTAAAACGTATTAATTTTACAGAACAGATTATAGAATAATATATTATAATAATTATAAAAAGTAATAAATCAGTCAACAAACGCATAACAAATAAAAATCAAGAAGCAAAAGCAAAAATATGCATTGAATAAAGATTAAAAACCAATGTTTAGATAAATAAAAAATTTATTCTAGAATGGAAATACGTTAAACTCAAAAGAAAAGTTTAAACTTGTTATTAGTTAAACTTACTGCCATAATGATCTTGCTATTAACATCGCAGTGTTTGAAATGTAATGATGAGCGAACTTGCGCGGAAACGCCAGATCGTACTTACTCATCTTCGATACCAAGAAGATATTCTATACCTCTCCATAGGTGACAAAAAGCTATCATATCTTCGTCGCTAACGTGAACGCCGAGCTCGTGCGGATAAAGCAGAATTATTCCCATGAAAGCGAATTGCGTCCAATATCAGCATGATTTAATCCCGTGGGTTTGAGCAGTAGATGAAGACAACCGTTTGCCACGGTCGGATACGGACAGGAGGAAAAATCTTCTAGGATTGTTTTTCTATCCGGGCACCATGGGTTCGGGATTTTAGTGGCCGCATCGAGTTCCTCCTGATCGTACTTGCAAAGTTTCAGCCGTATCGCACGGTGCATTCTACGCACAGCTTAAATATCTTGATGAGCCTTTATATCTTCAGTCAAAGGGTCCTCTGTTATTCAATTTCTCACACGGCAAACAGTATATTCAATATTCGCATGCTGTTTTAGTTACCTTGATACTCCAATGCCAATTCAATTTATGCTTAAGTATATAAAAGAATGTCAAGTTATTTAAGAAAAAAGAAGAGATTTCGAAAGAAGTAGGAATAACTTATTATTATTGAGGAAGCTATTTCACATATCAATTTTGTGTAGAGCGGCGATTTAAATTATTACATTAATTATTATTTTAATAAATAATTTATTTAGAATAATGTC